CTTTAGCATATTACTGCAAACATTATATCATAATTTATGAATATACATACTGTCTATTCATATTAAAAAGGAGATAATTCGAAACTTACAAAATGCGATTAAACATATCACAATGATAACGTATCAATGGTATCACGCAACTTGTACGTATTCGATAATCTATATCAATATAAGATAAACAATTTAGCACCCCCATATCTATTAAGAAATTGGAACAATTACCAGGGTAATAGGTTATTACATCTTTACCACATATGACTTATTATTTACTTATATAATCCAATTATCTATGCTTTATATCTTATCCGTACGACATCCAGCGCTCCCTCTGCTATATATAACTTATTTCAGTTATCTCTCTCTCACTTATGCCGCTTCTTCTTCTACCGTCCCCTTCGTCTATGCCTATCTGTGGCTACTGACTCTTTCGCGGGTTTTAACCCGCGCACCACCACCAGCTCCTCTAGGTGCTTTTTTTCGTGGACGGCCTCACTTCTTTCACGTCTCTCTGTCCCTCTCTTGATATTTTCTTCTCTCATTTTAACTCTCTGATACGCTTCGACGTTCGGTGACATATTCTGTTCTCTTTCTTTTTATTTTATTATCCTTCTCTGGCTTTCTCTGCCTCACGAGTTTTAATCCCTCGCGCCTCTCCCAATATACATTATCTCTCCTCTCTTTCGGCTGATATTCCTTTTCTCATTGTACTTCGCGCGATCGTTTGCTTTTTTTGCTCTTTTCTTTTCTCTCTGCGTTCTCTCTCTGTGCTCTCATGCTATCTCTACGTCTCTCGTCTCTCTCTGGGGAAAGCTTCCCTCCCTTCCCTGCCTTTGCACCTCCTCCTTCCGCCCATACCCTCGCCACCTCCCTCTCTCTCCCTCCCTCCCTCCCTCCTCCCTCCCTTCCCTCCCTCTCCTTCTCGGTCTTCTCTCTCTCTCATTCTCTCTACTCTCTCTCTCGTCTCTCTCTTCGTGTAGTCTCCTCTATTCTTGTTAGACTGGGCTCTCTCTTTCTCTCTCTCTGTAGTACAGCCCTGTCTCTATATATATTGTATTATATTATGCTGCATTGTCTACCGTCGCTGGTACTAATACCCCGTCTAGGGGCATGCGACGATGCTGCTTCAAAGTGCTTACCACTATCCACTTGTCTCGGATCCTCCTATCAAAAAGAGTCCAAGCGTGTGCAGGGTTTACTCGTGGGTTATTAGTTCCAGGACGTGAGACATAGTGCACTGTGAGGAATGAATAGACCAATACCGATACTGATCTCTGATAAGTCGATCGCCTCAGCCCTGTGCCTGTTTTTAGGTCGCCGCTTAAAAACCGCGATCCGCGCGCCTGAAGCCGAAGACGGCAGTTAACTGAAAAGGTATTACCTGTGTCATACGGTATATAATCATATATTGTATATATAATATAATAATGTATGGTAAATGTAATACCTATACCCTGGTATTACATTTTCTTATGTTGGGTGCTTATTGTTTCTATATTATATATTATCATCGTACATTGCGTGCACCTTACTTATCATTTTGGTATGTTATCGCATTTTTATTTCGAATTATTCTCCTATTTTATATGATAAGCAGTTGTATTATCATATTTATTATATTTTTTGCCAGTATAAGTGCTAAAGATCTTTTGCAACAATATTCAGGATTCTAGCGATGATGGTGAAGAGGACCGGCGGTGAGAGTAGGAGGCAGGAGCTGAGGAGGAGGCGGGAGCAACGGAACGACAAAGAAGGGGAAGCCCCCACGGTGGAAGCTGTAGAAATCGTCTGCGGCGGATCCAGCAAACCTCGATGTTCAAGTTCTTGCCGACATCCATCGCACCAATATTCACTCAGACCTCCGTTCAGAAGGAAGCCCGCCGCGGCCGCCGGCGAAGGTGGCCGCCCCGTCACTTTCAGTCCGGCCTCCACGACCTTAACAACTCTTGGCGCGTTGAATCCACACGGCGCGGCCGACGGCATGACCTCTGGAAATGCACGTTGCAAGGTCAGACCAAGCAGTACTGAGCCGCGAGCGCAACATATGGGACAAGATGAGTGAAGTAGTTGGCAGTACTCGGACTGGCTGGACCTGATGTCGGAGTGTAGGAACAGCCATGGCCTCAGACTGTAAGAATGTAAGGCAGGCGATGCCAGTACGCACATTTTCTTCAAATACCTAATCGCATAATATTTTATTTCTAGGCCAGCATGGTTGCGCAGGCAGCGCCTGTGGCAGTAGATTGCTGCCAGACGCGCCGTAGTATGTGCGTCCGAGTTCAGCTCGTGTTGGCTGCTCAGTGTAGCTTCTGGTTGCCACGTGGCAACCCGTTTCTATTACGCTCAAAAAATGCTCCGCCCAGCTGCCGACTAAATATGAATTTTCCACGCTTGTTTCGATTTTTCCTGAAGCGCCGATGTATGTATGTCGCTGGCTTCCGACAACGACTTGTGCCACAGTCGGCAGATTTCAATAAATATTTCTGGGAGAAAACATTATGTTTAAATGTGCATTTGATATTCAACACAGATGGCGATTTCAGGAAGCCTTCCTTCCAACGATCCCCCCCCCAAAAAAAAAGATCGACAAAGTTTAGAGTGTCTACCGAGTACCTACACAAAGACCAGGCATATCCATCGACTTCATTACAAGTTTGGATACAACAGCTGTTTTTTTACGTAGCGCTCGACGCTTGCTGCGTCTTCCGCCGCAACCAACATCCGCCAAAATATTTCGCTGAATCCGCCGAGTTCTTTCTGCTTCTTCGTTTGCTGGCCCCGGGAAGTGAAGAGACGGCGGCATTCCTCGGGGGATCCTGGATCGTAGAATGCAGATCGCGTTTGATTCCTGCGCTACCTCGAGAAAACGTCCGGTTATATATCGCTGCTCTCGCTGTTCTTACCTTCGCCCGTTAAATCTCGCCGGCCGCCGAACGCGCGGCGCGCGGCGCCCCTGCGCGTCGCGCCCGCGGAGGCGGCGGCGTGCGCCGGCGTCGCAGGATGCGGCGGTTGTTATCTCGGGAGGATATTTATTGGCGCGGGGAGAGCGCGAGTTCTCAACCACGCCCCGACGCGGCGGCGCGATCGCACGCGGAAAACAACAGATTGTGACCGGCTGCCGCGCACGGCGCCGCACTCGAGCCGGCACGCATGGGCTGCCATAAACGCCGCCTGCGCGTTGGACGGGTTCATCGCGCTGCATGCCCAGCGGCGCGTTCGCTCGATCACGATGGTCAGGCTTGTCGCACGCTACGCGCTCACGGGTGGGTGGGGTCACGGCTAGGGGTTGTGGGTGGCCGTGGAGCTAGGCATCGTGGGTGGAAGGGGCTAGTGTGTGTGTGTGTCGTGGGGGTGTGTAGGTGACTGCGAGGCGGGCGGTTTGGGGGGAGATCGTTGGTGGGTTCGGGGCCTAGATGATGCGAGGCGGTGGGGGTCCGTTGGTGCTGGTTGGTTGGGTTGCGGGGTTCAGGTGTGGAGTGGGTGGGGGCTAGGTGAGTGGCTAGGTCGCTGGAGTGGGTGGTTTGGCTACGGTTGCTGCGTGGTTGGAGGTAGGGCTGTGGGTTGAGTTGGGAACGGTACGGTGCTGGGTGTGGGTTGTAGTTGCGGGGTATGGTGTGGCGATTGGTTGGGCGGTCAGGTGTGCTTGGTTTAGGGGTAGGTGGGTGGGTGTGGGTTGAGTTGGAGGTAGGTGTGGGTGGTTTGGGGGTAGCCGTGTGGGTTCGGTTAGGGCGTAGGTGATTGGCGTGGTTAGGGGTTTAGGTGTGGGTGTCGTTTAGCGTTTGCGTTTGTCGGGCGGTAGGTAGTCGGGTGCGGTTTACTGGTTTGTTGGTTTGTTGGGCGGGTAAGTGTGTGGGTGGCGTTAGGTGTTGGTTTTGTTGGGTAGGGTGTGGGTGGTTACGGTGTTGGTTGGTTGGGCGCCGTTAGGCTGTGCGGCGTGGGGATTCGTCTTTTACACGTGGAGTGAGTGGACAAAGCAAGTAGATGCGATGTCTAGGAAGAGCCCTAGGAAAACACGGATGCTGCGCGCTTTTAGGCCCGAATGAAGTGAGATCGGTTACGCTGAGCATCATTGTAGTGGCTTACTAGTACTGATGCAAGTAATGCTACTGCTTCAGCTGTTAAAGTGATAAAGGGGGGAAAGCAGGCAAGAACTTTTCTCTACCTTTGTGGGTTATACAGCTCTCTCCCAGCGTTCACTCGCTCTCTCTCTCTCTCTCCTTTTCTCTCTCTCTCATCTCTTCTCTCTCTCTCTCTTCTCTCTCTCTCTCTCTCTTCTACTCTCTCCTCTCTCTCTCTCTCCTCTCTCTCTCTCTCTCCTCTCTCTCTAACTCTCTCTCTCTCTCTCTCTCCTCTCTCTTCTCTCTCTCTTTCTCTCTTCTCTACTCTCTCTCTCTCTCTCTCTCTCTCTCTCTCTCTCTCTCGCTCGCTTTTTTCTCTGACTCTCTCTGTGTGTCTCTCTAATGGAAATATTCTGGCCCATTATAAATGTTAACACTATAACGTTTAGCTTTTGTGGAAATTGGAATCATGCATGTGGACCGATCACGGTTAAGTCCTGCACGGATGCGAAGAGGCAGCAGCAGCTGCTGCTGCTGCTGCTGTTGCTGCAGACGTCTTTCCTGGACTTTTTGGGAAGTTGGTGGGCGTATTCTACAAAAACGAACACATTCGCGATGAAAATATTACAGCAGCAGCAGCAGCAGAAAAAAAACTGGCGTCGAGCGAGGGTAACACGATATAGTACACGCGATGGAATCGTGCTAGATATGCGAGTTTACTGCCCGAGTGTGACGGAATACGATTACATTGAAATCAATCGGCTAGGAATGCGATGCTAAATTTCGGTTGAACAGGTGCACGCGAAGAAAACAAGTAAACACGTTCCATGTGGGTGTGCTGACATTGAGCAATTATGAGAAGTTATAGCGCGAGCGAGCGTGTACACTATATTAATTAGATCATTAGCGTTGCTCCACCCGCGATGGTACGCCGCTGCGCCATATTTCTAAGAACTCGATCAAAACGTCAGAGATTCTTATGAAGTTTCAACGTAGTTCGCTATGAGTGTGAATGATCGGTTATCGGTATCGGTGATCGGTTTTCCGCGAATCGAGGCATCCGAGCTACGCGCATTACTGCATGTGCTTGCGGCTGTGAAACCCCCACGTACACTCCCGTGTTCGTTCGTGGTATTTCGAATATTCCGAGTATATTTACCTCGACATAGTTCTGGGAACTGTCTACTGAAATTAGAATGGCGTCAGTAAGGGTGTTGAGAGTATGCAAGGGCGTTGCCACACAAATACCAATAACGCTATAAAACGTTAATTTATTGCTATAGCTACAAGGCAATTAGTTTATTTCGTATAGCTACTATAATATACATTATTCTCTCAGGACCACACGATAAGTTAATATAACTTAGTAGATAATATAAGTTATTATCTACTCTTGTAGATATATATAGGACCGCAGTTTATTCACGATGTTTTTAAACCATTCTCATATTAAACATGCACATCCATGACACTAGAGTTGTTATGCAAACGTAGTCGCCCAAGGTCATTTCAACCGTTTTAGGGAATAGAATTATAATGTGAAGTAAAATTATATACAGTAAATCATAACTAACTATTAATACAAATTAGAATAATATTACTAATTATAATTTATTTACGTTTAATTTACATGTACTAAAATATAAAGTATACACATGAAAAATTAAAAAAAGGAAGAACACTTGTAGAAAAATTGTGCAGCGTATAAATATATTAGTCTCTCCATATATCTCATATAAAGCACATCAATAATAAAGCACAAGAATAAATAATACTAAAACTATAATAGATTAGCAATACTGAACCACGAACACTCTATTATACATTTAATTTATATACACTAAAATAACAAAAAATGAGCTTGAAAAAATAAAAAATACAAGGAATTCTTATAGAAGAAATCAGCGTATAACTAAATTCCTCTCTCTCTCTCTCTATATATATATATATATATGCGCGTGCGCGTTAGGTTTCTGTGGTGTACTTACGGGTTTAAGCAGCGATTATAATTCATAATTCGCAGGCGATGAGTGCGTGCGTGCGTGCGTGCGTGCGTGCGTGCGTGCGTGCGTGCGTGCGTGCGTGCGTGCGTGCGTGCGTGCGTGTGTGTGTGTAATATAATTTATTTTACTCTAGTTGCTTTCATAATGTCCCTAAATCAAGCGATCTCGCTATTACCCGTCGTAGGAGCCTACATTTAACTCAGCGGTAGGAAAATTATCCCTTATATATATAGATATCAAGAGTAGATAATAACACACATATATATATATATATAATGTCCCTAAATCAAGCGATCTCGCTATTACCCGTCGTAGGAGCCTACATTTATCTCAGCGGTAGGAAAATTATCCCTTATATATATAGATA